CGTCACGCCCCGGGTGCTGCGCAGACCCCAGCCCAGATTGGGGGTCCCCGTCGCCCCGGGTGCTGCCTGGACACAGCGAGACAGGCCCTGACACGAGGCAGGAGGGGAAACCAAGGCACGGAGCAGGACAAGGACTTGCCCAGGGTCGCCCAGCTCTGGGGCTGGGAGAAAGGTGGTGTGGGCCAGGGGCTCCCTGGGGCTGGGGGGCAGATCCCCCTCACGGCCTCCCCCCGCCCCCCAGGCCTACATCCAGCTGACCTACGTGGAGCCGTTCTTCGACACCTACGAGCTGAAGGAGCGCGTCACCTACTTCGAGAAGAACTACGGCCTGCGCAGCTTCCTCTTCTGCACGCCCTTCACGCGGGACGGGCGGGCGCACGGGGACCTGCACGAGCAGCACAAGCGCAAGACGCTGCTCACCACCTCGCACGCCTTCCCCTACATCAGAACCCGCCTGCCCGTCGTCCACAAGGAGGAGGTGCCGGCCGGGGGTGGGGGGCTCGGCGGGGGTTCAGTAGGGGTGGGGCAGTGGGTGCCCGGCTATGGGGAGTGAGGTGGGGGCTCGGCAGGGGGCAGGGGCCTGAGGGTCTGGGGGGGCCGAGCTGACGCCCCCCCCGGTGCCCCCAGATCATCCTGACCCCCATCGAGGTGGCCATCGAGGACATGCAGAAGAAGACGCAGGAATTGGCCTTCGCCACCCACCAGGACCCAGCCGATGCCAAGATGCTGCAGATGGTGCTGCAGGGCTGCGTGGGCACCACCGTCAACCAGGTCGGGCGGCGCCCGGGGCAGGGCAGGGGGGTCGGGGGTCACAGGTCGGGAGTGAGGGGCACCAGGCAGGGCTGGGTGGGGGCTGGGGGCTGGGCTGGGTGGGGGTCGGGGGCAGGGCTGGGCTGGGGGCGGAGGGGGCAGGGCTCTGACTCGCTGCCCGTTGCCCAGGGCCCGCTGGAGGTGGCCCAGGTGTTCCTGGCCGAGATCCCGGACGACCCCCGGCTCTACCGGCACCACAACAAGCTGCGCCTCTGCTTCAGGGACTTCACCAAACGGTACCAGGCCCCCCTGGCCCCCCCATCTCCCCCCAGCCTCCCCCTCTGCCCCCCCTGGCCCCCCCATCTCCCCCTCTGCCCCCCCGGTCCCCCCCTCTGCCCCGCCCACCTGTCTCTCTGCCCCCCCAAACCTAGCACCCCCATCTCCCCCACCAGCACGGCCCACCTGTTTCTCTGCCCCCCCAACCTAGCACCCCCCATCTCCCCCTCTGCCCCGCCCACCTGTCTCTCTGTCCCCCCCCCCAAACCTAGCACCCCCATCTCCCCCTCTGTCCCGCCCACCTGTCTGTCTGTCCCCCCCAAACCTAGCACCCCCATCTCCCCTACCCGCACGGCCCATCTGTCTCTCTGCCCAGCCCACCACACCTCACGCTGCCCCTCACACCCTGTCTCCAGAGCCGGCCTCACCCCCAGGAGGTGGGGGTCTGGGTCCTGGCCCCTCCCTGCCCTGAGCAGGGTTGCGGGAGGGGCTTCCCTGAAGGGAGACGGGATTCCCCCTCGCCCCACCTGGGATCCCTCCTTTGGGCTCCGAGCCCCCCAAATCCCTCTCCCCTGCCATTGTCCTTCCCTGGCACTGAGCCTGCACTCAGCTTGGGGAGAAGCAGTGCATTCTGGGAACCCTGTTGGCCGTGGTCATGAGCCCCCCCTCGGTTGCAGGTGCGAGGACGCCCTGCGTAAGAACAAGGCGCTGATCGGGCCGGACCAGCGCGAGTATCACCGGGAGCTGGAACGGAACTACCTGCGCCTCCGGGAGTCGCTGCACCCGCTGCTGAGCCGCCGGATCCCCCAGCTCTACGCCCCCCTCGTCCCGCGCTCCACCCACCGGTGAGCCCCAGCGCCCGGCCCGGCACGGACACGGAGAGACGTTCCCAGCTGGAATACACACGGGACGAGAGGAGAAACTGAGGCAGAGAGGAGATGGGACTTACCCAGGGTCACGCAGGGAATCCTGTGGCACAGCCAGGAATGGGACCCAGGAGTCCTGGCTCTCCCCACTACACCCCACTCCCTTCCCTGAGCTGGGAATCTAGGACTGGCTTGTTCCCTGGGGTCTCTCCACACCCGGCAGTTACCAGGGTCCCCCACCCGCCGGGTAGGGGGGCGGATTTGGCACATGTTAATTTCACCCAGTGGATTAATTGGAGGGTCCCGTTCTCCCCCCCCCCCCCCCCCCCCCCCGGACCCCGCCCCCCCCCCCCCCCCCCCCCGGGTCCAGGCCCACTCGCCCCAGTCAAATGCCGTGGTGTGGCGGGGTCGTTCTCCGCCCCTTCTGCTGCCCGGGGTGTCTCTCCCGCGGCCTGGGCCCGGTGCTGCGGGTGCCAGACGGGGTGTCTGGCCTGTTTACCCAGCAGCCGGGGGCAGAGGCGAGGTGGCCCCGATCCTGCCGGGGACCCTGCATCTGGACCAAAGCTCAGCGAGCTGCTCCCGGGCATCTCCCCCTGCGGATCCCTGGACACGGGCAGCGAAGGGGCACCAGGCCGGGATCTCTCCCCCGTGGGCTGACTGCTTCCTGTGGCTAGAGAGCGGGGCAGGCCGCGGAGGCCCCCCTCCCAGCGCCGGGAATGGAACCCAGGAGTCCTGGCTCCTCATCCCGAGTGGGCCAGGCCCCCCCCACCCCGCTCCTGTCCGAAGCCAGGGGCCCCACGGCCCTTGTGGTGCATGAGGATTCTGCCCCCCTCCCACCTCCTGGGGCGACGGCGGGATGCAGCCTCTGCCCAATCCCCATGCCTGGGGGGGCCAGCAGGAGCTTTCCAACCCCCCAAGTGCCTGAGCGAGCCCTAGCTCTAGGGTAAGGGGGGAGCACCTCACTTCCCGCCCCACTCGCCTCTGTATCTTTCTTTTCTCACACGGAGGAGCCCCCCTCTTCCCCCAGCTTTGCGATCTCTTCCCTTGACCTCCAGCGAGGGGGGTGGGGTGCATCTGGGACGTTCATTAACCCAGGGGTGGAAAGAGTGGGGCTGGGGGGCTGAGCTGGTTAGATGGGGGGGGGGTGAATCGTAGCCGTGAGGCTGTTTGAACTGAGTCGGGGGTGGGGGGCTGGTCTATTGGCTGTGGGGCAGGCGGTGCCCCCAGCAAAGGGGCACAGTTTTGGGGAGGGGGGGCTGCCAGGCATGAGCCCCTCCACTAGCTCCCACACCAGGCCCTCCACGTGTGGGGCAGGCAGGGGGTTCCCCAGGACCTGCAGTGTCAGCCCCAGCCCCCCAGCAGCAGCCAGTTGTACCCTGGGGGGCCCAAGAGCCTCGGGCGTGGGGCCCTGCTGCCCCCCTCAACTCCAGCAGGGCCGGGGGGGAGCCCAGGCCTTCCCTGCCCCCCTCCAATCACAGCTACCCCCATGTTGTTACCCCCCCCTTCACTGTCTGAGTCACCGGCCTTAACCCCAAACTGGAAACTTCCCCCCCTCCCCCGCTGCCTCCCCTGTGCACCCCGTTGAATTTGGCTCCTGCCTCACTCTGGGCCAGGACGGGAGGACGGGGTCTCCCCAGCCCGGGCCCGTCCCCCGCGTCTGGCCGGCTGGGGCCGCGGGGAGAGGCGCCGGCCGGGGGGTTATTTATAAAGTGATTTAACAATTAAAACCAAAAACCTTTGGATTGTTTGAATTCCCGGGAGCCGAGTCTGGTTTGTGTTGCCGTGGGGCCGAGTGAGAGCGGGGGGCAGCAGGGGGCTGTGCAGACACACCCCCCCCCCGCCTGCCAGACCACGTGCAGCCCCCCAGGAGTGTGGGACCCCCCCCCAGGCCGGGCACTGGGCAGACACAGTCCCTGCCTCAAGAGCTGACGCTCGCCAAGGCTTTGGAGGGGAAACCGAGGCCCGCCCCCCACTCCCCCACAGGCCAGTGGCAGAGCCCGGCCTCGCCCCACACCCGCCCCCTTTCGCTGGAGCCCTCCTGCGGCATCTAATCTGGCCAGGCCGGCGTGTGCTGGGTGATAGCGCCCAGCCCTGATAGCCCCAACGGCTGGCGCGGCGGAGGGGTTGCTGACAGGCGCGGGGGGCAGTGATGTGAATTAGTTACTATTAGGTGTATTACGGTAGTGCTGAGATCTGCCCCCCGCTGTGTGCCGGGCACTGCCCAGACACACATTGCAAGACCATCCAGACCCCAAAGAGCTCCCAGTCTAGCTCGATGCAGGGTGGGAGGGGAAACTGAGGCAGCGGGCGGGACTTGCCTATGGTTGGAGCTGGGAAAAGAACCCAGGTGTCCTGGGCCGTGCGGCTGGGGTTCGGCAAGGCAGCGGGACGGGACCTCGCGGGGAGGGTGCGAGGTGCAGCTGCCGGCGAGTCGCCCCGGTGGGCTGGGGGCCCAGCACCTGCCAGGTGTGGGGAGGGGACGAGGGGCCCTGAGATGGAGGCCGGGACCTTGGGATTGATGCCCGGCTCAGCGCCAGGCCCCCGGGCAAGTCACTGTGTCCGGCCGGGCCTGTTCCTGGGGGGGGGGGGGGGGGGGGGGGGATTTTCCGGCCCAGCCCAGGGCTGCGCTGGGCCCCCAGCAGGAGTGGCCGGGCACAGCTGACTGAAACGGAGCCAGCGCAGGACGGTGCCAAATGCATCTGGCTGCAGCCCAGGCTCCATGGGGATAAATGTCCCTTCGCCAGCCCCTCTCTGCCCCGCTGGGCTGAGCCCCCTTGGCGGGGCTGGTGCCTTCTCCTGGGCGGCAGGGCAGAGCTGGAACCAACCGAGCTGCTGTTTATGGGGCACGATGCCGTCTGCCCCGGGCCTCGGCCCAAATCCAGCCGAGAGGGGTGAGCAATCGGCTACCCCGGGGGGGTGGGGGGAGCAGCTGGAGCTACAAATCGAGGCCCCCATTGTGCCAGGCGCTGCCCAGACCCCAACCGAGATTGGGGCCCCGTCGCGCTGGGCGCTGCCCAGACCCCAACCCTCGAAGAGCGCAGTCTTACTGGACAGCCGGTGGCCCAGCAGGACAACGTAACTTGCCCCCAGTCAGTCGGAGCCGAGGCAGGTGCAGAACCGAACTCTCCCTGAGCCCTCCCCCGGAGCCCCAGTGCAGGCCGAGGGCCTGACCCGGGCTGACTGGTGGAGTCCAAGCTGCAGGATCGGGGCCCGTGTTTGGCAGCAGAGCCGTGCGGCCGGCAGCGCCCCAGCGGTTTGGTGCAGCCGAACCCCAGCCTGCAGGAGGCAGAGCCAGTCGGGGGGCAGGAGGGCAGTGTGCCGATGGATCAGGACGCCTGGGTCCTGCCCCCACCTCTGCCAGTGGTTCACTGGGGGCCCCTTACCAGGTCTGGGCAGCGCCCGGCGCGACGGGGCCCTGATCTCGGTAGGGGTCTGGGCAGCGCCCGGCGTGACGGGGCCCTGATCTCGGTCGGGGTCTGGGCAGCGCCCGGCGTGACGGGGCCCTGATCTCGGTAGGGGTCTGGGCAGCGCCCGGCGTGACGGGGCCCTGATCTCGGTCGGGGTCTGGGCAGCGCCCGGCGCGACGGGGCCCTGATCTCAGCTGAGCTCCACCCATGTAGCTCTAACCCACGTCATTATCACTAGCCACAAACTCCTCGTGTAATGTTTCAGCTCTGAGCAAAAATGCACCAAGAGCTGGAAAAGCAGCTAAATTAGAACCAGGCCCGCGGAGCCGTTCACCAGCCGCTGCCAATTAACTCCTGCCAGGCTCTTTCCCAGCCGCCCGCGGCCCCGGGGGGAGCCCCAGGAGCGGGGCAGCGCAAGGGGCAGCGGCTGGCGTGTTGTTCTGGGTCTGGGCAGCGCCTGGCATGGGGACAGGGCACCCTGGGCACTACCGTAATACACCTAATAAATGCCCCTCGCTGTGCTGATGGAGGGTGTAAATGGGCCCCTCAATCCCCACAGAATCCCCTGGAATGTTACACAGCAGAGCAGGGGGCTCTACAGGCCCAGCCAGGCCCCATCGCGCCGGGCGCCGCCCAGACCCCGGCCGAGATCACAGCCCCGTCGTGCCGGGCACCGCCCAGACCCCGACCGAGATTGGGGGCCCCGTCGCGCCGGGCACCGCCCAGACCCCGACCGAGATCACGGCCCCGTCGCGCCGGGCACCGCCCAGACCCCAACCGAGATCAGGGCCCCGTCGTGCCGGGCGCCGCCCAGACCCCGGCCAAGATCACGGCCCTGTCGCGCCAGGCGCCACCCAGACCCCAACCAAGATCGGGGCCCCGTCGCGCTGGGCACCGCCCAGACCCCGACCGAGATCAGGGCCCTGTCGGGCCGGGCGCTGCCCAGACCCCGGCCGAGATTGGGGCCCCGTCGGGCCGGGCGCTGCCCAGACCCTGGCCGAGATCGGGGCCCCGTCGGGCCCGGCGCTGCCCAGACCCCGACCGAGATCACGGCCCCGTCGTGCCGGGCGCTGCCCAGACCCCGACCGAGATCACAGCCTGTCGTGCCGGGCGCTGCCCAGGCCCCCAGCAAGACGTGGCCGTTACCCTGATGAGCCCAGCCCAGCGCACCCAGTTTGCCCAATTCCCCGTTGTCTGGAGCGCGGCAGCAGCCGGGCCGGGGCCCAGCCCTTCCCACTCTGGGCGCCTGGTTCTGCGGCTCCCCGGCGGGCCGCAGCCGGGAACCGGTTCTGCTCCTCGCAGCGCTTCGCACGCCGGCTCGGGCCCTGCTCACACGGTCGCTGCCCCTTTTAGCTGGGGAGGGGTGTGTCCCGGGCGGGGGGGCGGGACCAAGGCGGCCCCAGGGATCTGGGCTGGCTGGTCCCTTTCAGAGCTCTGGAGTCTCTGCCTGGGAAACTGACAGCGGAGGGAAAAGGTACCAGCCCCTGCGAAATCCCCCCAGACCCCTCTGCCGCCTTGGCGCGGGACCCCCGAGGGGCGCGACCAGCCCCCGGCAAGGCCGGAGACCCGGGGAACCCGCCCGTTCCTCCCAAGGAGCCCGGGGAATTCGGTGCCACCCTGGGGGGCTCTTCGCAGGCGCGGCGTCGAGGGCGAAGGCGGGGAACCGGCGGGAGCCGGCGTCTCCTTTGGGGCCTGCGGAGACCAGGGCCCGTCCGTCCCGTCTCCAGGGAGTTTAGCTCAGGTCACTTCACCCGCTTCTTTCTCTGCCCCTGGTCAGAGCCCGATTCCGACCCCGCGCGACGCCCCCAATTAACTCCTGCCAGGCTCTCGTGAAACCGACGCCTTTCTTCTCCCTTCGCCAGGTCGGGACGGGGCGAGGCGGGTCCGACACGG